GCCAGCAGGCACGCCGCCGTCCTCGTTGAACGAAAACAAAGCACAGGCCTTGGTTCCGACGTTTTCCGGGTTGACGGCCTTTTCGTCCTTCTGCACCACGTAGTCGTGGAAAGCGTCCTTGACGTAGTCAACCTCGTTGGGCTGGTCGTAAAGACGCTTGTGGTTGGTTTCGTTCTCGGTGAAAAGCAACTTGGGTTCCACGTCAGGCAGATTCTCGCTCAAACCAGGAGCAGGCGCAAACACCAAGTATCTCTTGCCGAACTTGGGGTGCTCCAACTCAATGGTGTAGTTGTCGATCTGCTTCAACGTGGGCTTGCCATGCAAGGACTCCTCTGTGCCCCAGGCCCAGTAGTTACGCAAAACAATGTGGGGCAAGATGTGCAAAGGAGCAGCATCAGGGCCTCTGTTGTAGGCGGTGATTCTGAACAAAAGCTCCTCGGGGTCCTCGTCGGCCTTGGCCAGCTCGTACACCACGTCAAAGTACTTCTGCTCGTCGAAAATGCCCGTGTCGGTGATTTCGTACTCCTGTTCCAAACGGCTACGTTTCCCGTTCTCCTCCACCAACTTCTCATAGGGGAACTCGGCCTGGGGATACTTGTACAACATCTTCGAGTACGAGTGGGTGGGCGTGTTGTCAAGGTACCAGTACAACTCCTTCACATCTTCACCGTGGTTACCCTGGGAGTTGGTGACACCGAAAAGCTTCTCCTTCAAGATATGGTCCTTCTCGTTCCAAAGTGCCAACAGCAAGTTGACCAACTGTCTGGTATCACAAAAGCCACACAAACCGTCTTCTCCCCAACGGTACGTTCTCAGGCGTGACGTGTCAAACAGGAAATCATCCCAAGCCAGTCCAGAAGCCGAGTAGTCCTCTCTGACAGTGGCCCATTGTCTTTCACTAAGATAAGTGCCCCAGCGTTTGTAGTATTGATCTCTCTTCTTGTTTTCAAAAAGACGGCGCTCCTCGGCGGTGAGGGCGTCCAACACGTCGTTCATTGACTTTTTTTGACTAAAAGAAAAGGTGGTTTGAGTTGGTGATATATGTGGTGGACTCCTGCAGAATTGTCTTAGTTGCTGCGGCAGGGAGGTGCTTCATTTCAGGGATGAATAGCCTATGAGAGACGGGCTCGGGGTTTTCGGAAAAGAAGGAGTTGGTTTTGGAATTATGGTTTTTTTGGGAATATCGGTTTATTTGTACTGTTCGGGCTTTGGATCGTCGTTGGCACCGACGCACCCCACGGAGTCCCCCAAAGTCACCCCCACTTTGCAGCCAATCGAGGGGCACGTTGCCCCGCCGATCAATATATAAGCGGGAGGTTCGCTGATTTTTTTTTGGTTTTTTTGGGTTTTGCCTAAATTTTTAGATCGGCGTCGCCAGATCAGCGGCCTTGCTGGCGCCCGATGCACGGCGGCTAGATGATATACGAGGAGGAGGAGTGGAGGGTGTAGATGGGTCAGGTGTGGTCGTATGGGCTCAATGGGTGGGGGACGAAAAAGTTGGTGGTGGGTGGTTTGGAGTGTGAGTTTGTGGTGTTTTGGGGGAAATTTGGGGAGTTTTGGGGGACGGTTTTGTGTGGTTTTGAAGGAGTGGCAGAGGTGAGCAGTGGAGGGTGGTGATCTGTTGGGCTATTTATGGAGTGTCGGCATGGGGTATGAAATGTGGATAAAAAAGGTGCTGTAATGGAGTTTTGATGAACGATGATCGGGAATGGGGCTGGTGGTTTGTTTTGGTCTGGGGCATCGTGACTTCTGGGGATGAGGCGTCTCACGGTCCAGTTTGACAGTGAACTTGGAAGACCAAGGGGGATTTCTATTCGGAATGGGTTACTAAAAGTTGTTACAAGCAATATAAAACGCTGTTTCCGCTTCAAGCGGAAGAAAGTGGGAGTAAGGGACTAGAGAACTCCTTCGGATCCTTCCCTGAACGGAATAAGTTACCTCCTTGGTCTATACTTTGACCAGAACTGTCGACAGACTGAAATGAAGTGATGATTACTTTACAGAGTATGGAATCCCATTTGAATTCCCTTTGGAAGTCCTTTCTTCAAAAGTCTTCCTTTTCAATGGCTTCAATACAACCATCCTGCGGATCAGAGGCTCAAGACGAGAGATATCATTGGGTATCGCCATTATGGAAACTTTAGCCCATACATCTTCAAAGCCCCTCATTATAGTTCAAGCTGTCCTATAAATACAGTGATCCAACAGACACCCATCAGATCTCAAGATCTGACCTCACCAACAATACATACCATTGTTTCTGCAACCTTTGCAATTCCTGAACCATTCTCTTCCCAGAAGGACTATTAAAGTATCCAGTCTACATCTTTTCATAAATTCATTCTGAGCTGCTCATAATCTTCGCAGGTATCACCATTCCGTGCTCCACACTGCCAAGGCCAGCTTCTCCACAACAAGAGATTCTCTGCATGATCTTCAGAAACTCAATTCCAGGGCCCCTCATGATGCCCCGCTCAAGGTCACTCTGAATCCCACCCAAATACCAGAATACCGTAGGGTCTTGTTGATTTACGAATGCCCCGCATGTTGGAACGGGTCACTTCTTCCAATCGGCATTGTTGCCAAATTTGGCAACACCCACAGGAAGCCTACAAATTTTCAGTTTTGCGGCATCTAAGCCTTCTAGACCCTTCAAATAACATCCTTGAGCTATAAACTCTAATTGGGTGAAAGCAGTGCATTGCTCGGTCCGGATAAACTACTGCCCGATGAAGAGTGCCCGAGAATGGTTCCGCCCCGCATTTCTTTTTCTGTCACCGGATAAAGCTGCAACGGCGCTCGTTTCTTTTCCGATGCGCCCCCACAGGAACCATTTTCGGAGTCCACCCCAGACTGGGTATATAAACGGGCCATTTCTCTCGATTTCGCTTTTGTAGATTGCTCATCACCATGACTCTTTCTGACGCCATTTACAACACCATCATCAAGCCAGACCACGAGGAGACCTCTGTTCCTGCCAAGGCTCCTACTCTTAAAGGCACTGTGGTGGATAGATTCCTTTTGAACGGTAAAGTCACCGTTATTACTGGAGCTGCTGGTGCCATTGGTGGAGCTATTGCTGAGGGTTTTGCCCAGGCCGGTTCCCATGTGGTGATTATGGACTACAAGCACGATCCCAGTCTTGCTTCTCGTTTGAGCGACACCTACGGCATCAAGGCCAAATCGTACCAGGTTGACGTGACCAAGTACGAGGCCGTCGAAGAGGTGGTGAACCAGATTAAGGAGGATTTCGGCACCATCGACGTGTTTATCGCCAATGCCGGTGTTGCTTGGCAAACAGGTTCTATTCTTAATGACGACTCCACGCTTGATTCCTGGAAAAAGGTGTTTGACGTCAACGTCCACGGTGTTTTCAACTGTGCCAAGACGGTCGGCAAGATCTTCAAGGAAAAGGGCCAGGGCTCCTTCATTATGACCGCCTCGATGAGCGGACACATTGTGAACGTTCCCAACTACCAGACCGGCTACAATGCCTCCAAGGCTGCTGTGGTGCAGATGGCCAAATCCTTGGCTGTGGAGTTTGCCGGTTTTGCTCGTGTGAACAGTGTTTCGCCAGGATACACCGACACGCCGATGTCGTCCTTCGTTCCTACTAAGCAGAGAGCCAAATGGTGGGGTCTTACGCCTGAGGGCAGAGAGGCATTGCCCGAGGAGTTGGTTGGCGCATACCTCTACTTGGCCAGTGACCTTTCCACATTCACCACTGGTTCGGATATTCGTGTTGACGGTGGTTACACATGTGTGTAAGTTATGAAAGAGCCGGTCTCGGAATATGAGACCCAGGCATTGCATGATAATAGATATGGTGTTTTAGTGAACATTTAATAGTGATGAGTTGTAGATTTGCTGGAATTGAGTTGTTTGATAGGATGAAGACTGGTATTCGATACAGTAGAATGGCTGCAAAATGGCTGCGATAGAGTATCTAAGCCACAACTTGTGCAAGCCGGCTGAGATAAAAAAGGATTGAGTGGAACTCCATATTTCAAATGGTTGATTCCCTTATTGATAATTCAATCCATGAAAATCCAAAAAAATAGTGACTCCGGCGTGATTCGAACACGCGCATCTTACGATAACAGAACTTGAGTCTGCCGCCTTAGACCGCTCGGCCACAGAGCCATTACTGAATATAACCTGCAGCGGGTGTATATAGTAAAATAATACAGCATTGACGCGGTATATGCAGGACATCCAAAATACGGTCAGGAGAGTGAATTCTCGAAAACAGATTCAAATTTTGAGGTCATTTTGGGCCTATAAATTTATCGTCCAAGTATCAAAGCCCCATTTAGAAGGGTGAAAAGGTGATTGCTGAAATACATTTTGTTGCGAGATTTGTTGCATTTGAGTTACATTTTCGAGTTTCTTTGCATGCTCAACACGAAAAAAGTACTAGATTCACAGTTAGCAATGGAGATATTGCTTTATCGGTTTAACGGCAGGAGTATGATGTGGTATTCGGTAATTTAAGAGCAGGTTTTTGCTATAAGTGTCGTGAAATTGAGAATAGTGTGATCCCATTGAAGGCTGTTTCTATAGGGAATAAGGTTATTCACTCCAATAAAGAGAGCTCATATAGAGATAAAAAGAAGAAAAGCCAGAGGCTTCGGCATCCCGTGACATTTAATTACAGTATGTTTCCCCAGAGATATGGTATTCCTCAAAGGAGAAAATTAAATAAAACTACATAAATGAGCCGCCGATCAGGTAAAATGGCTTGCATCGGAGTACAGATTCATGCCTCAATCCAAGTACAAAATTCAAAAAAATCAAAGGGTCATGCCCAATTTCTGAAACACGACATTTTCGGAATCCAAAAACAAGGCGATCAATGAACTCGTCAAAATAATTATTTAATCAATATTGTGCCGTCAACTATGTAAGCGTGACCGATGCTTAAACATGCATCGAGTTACCTCATCGTCTCCCAATAAATAAAAGACTCCACCTCTCCCTCCAAAATTCCAGACCCCAAAATGCCTGAAAATCCATACGAAGAAATCGAAAAAGAAACCGAAAACCCTCCAGTTACTGCCGAAAGCCAGGAAACCAGTGAACAACCAAGCAAGGAAACCAGTGAACAAGCAGAAACCAGTGAACAAGCAGAAACCAGTGAACAAGCAGAAACCAGTGAAAAACCAGAAACTACCAAAGAAGCGAAAAAAGACCATGACTGCAAAATAGTACCTGTCATCGCCTTTATTATAGCTTTTCTGGCGGTGTTGGGCTGGTATATCCTCAATGCCCTCTATTATCGAAACCTTTTCCTCGGATCCCTGGCTCCCTATCCTATTCAAAAAGCCTGGAACGAGGATCCAAATGGCTGGATCCAAGTCATGAACAAGACGGTTGCAGCTTTTGAGGATGTTAAAAAGGGCATTTCTGGTGATATCGCATCCGATATTCCCCTGGAATGGCCGTATGGGAAAACAACATATTCCCTCTATAGCTCGGGCTTGTGTAGAGATGCTGAAGGAATGAAGAGAACGTGCTACGAAGGGAAATACGCCTTTTATGATTTTGTGAAGGATATGGGGCTCTTCACTACTGAGGAACTCAAGTTGAAGGATGTGGATGCTTTCCAAGAGTCGTGGATGGACAGGGTCAAGAATATGATAGTGGATGCATTGGTAGAGGAAGAAAGAGTCAAAATCCATGATGAAGTTTTCCAAACGCATAGCACGACGATGGAGTTTGTCAAGGAGTTTAAGTATGGGCTTTATGAAACCGACTTTGTGCCATATTGGAGGTTCCTGTTCTTTTGGTTTGTCATTTCAGCCCTCGTCGATGGCTCGCTCGTACTAGCAGCATTTTTGGGTTTTGATAAGAATTCTTTTGAATTCGGTATTGCTGTAGGTCTGGTCATTCACATTGGCAGAGTACTCGTTGGGTTAATTATTGGCCTGGCTCTCCGTACACGCATGTGGGAAGGAGAGGTATTTGAGAGCATCAGTGTCAGCTATCCTTTGAAAAGCCTGGTAATTGTGAAAATCTTTCAATTTTTGTATCCTGTGGTGTGGTTATTCATTTTTGCGTGCCTAGGAGACCTCGGTGTCGACTGTTGTGACGTTAAAGATGATCTGGGTTCCGAACAGTGCTAGACATTGTGAGTCATTGGTAGGGGACTCAAGGTGAAGGGAGGAGCAAGTTCAGTTTTGAATATAGGAGAATTTTTATCGTTTCGTCAAAAGCTTGCTAGTTGTACGTTCGTACTTTCCGTTCTTTCAGGGGAGTTCATCAGCAGGTCATGCCTCGTTTATCAAATTAGTACGTTGTGTTGCAGCGGAACATTGGAAAGCATTAGATAGCTTGAATAGAGACCATCGATAAGATGGCAGAGACGAGGCTTGTGAATCAGGGGAATGATCAAGAGCAATACAGCATAATTGAGATGAAGTTTAAGGGACGAATGAATTTTTGGTGGAGATACATGGAACTTCTATATTACCAGCTTATGGATACAGGAGTTGCCCAAAGTTTAGCCATCTTTTGTCAACGGATAAGAGGGAAATGAAAAAATGGTGAGTTCCTATGTTCGTGATCTAGGGTAGGGTCATTTTGAGCCACACTTTTCGGTGGAAGATGTGACCTTGAGCTTATGAAATGGAAAAAGTGGAGGTCCTTAAAAAGGAATTGAAGAGAAAAGGCAATTGGAGATTCAAAATATCATTGAGGTCGATGGAGAGATTGCTGGTGGTCCCATTGGTCGAATACCAGCATTGAGGTAATGTAGCTTTAGCGTCCAGTATCGGCAGGAGGGCATAAACGACAAGGCCGCCCAGGTAATCCAAAAGCCGCCTAAAACGTCATACCCTTCAACGCTTTATCCACATTGTGCATCACCTAAATCCCAACATCGGCAAATCCATCCCACAAGCCGATCTCAAAAACCCAGTTGTGGTCACCCAAATCTCAAAAACCCATGATTCTCCAAAAACCAACTGTGCGTTTTTCCCCAGCCGGTTATCACAAAACGCAAATCCCACCTTAAGTCGGACTGCCTGGATCATTCATGATAGTGCCATATCCAGGCTTAGCCTCGGCCCGGTGCGGCTGCACATGACACAACCACTAGACCGTGCATGGGCCAATTTCGAGATAACACGATAATGTACGACGTGGAGATAAGAAAGCGAAGATGCAATCCAAGGAATCCTAAATTTCTACTTTTTTTTATCCTTTACTTTTTCATTCAACTGCCAACGCACGCAGCTGTCAAGTGAGCCGTGCAGATATTACGAGGCGGCTGCATGACAGGGCTGTATCCACTCCGCCTGGATCAACAATTTCCATGATACACAATTGGACCTCGTGCCGAAACACGCCAATTCCGTCATATGCACGAATCCAGCTATCAGCCGTGCCGACGCCCCATATAAACACGCCATGCCGCTCCCTTTTGGCTAATTCCTCCAACAATGCATCTTCATCCCCGTCTATTTTCTTCAGGTTTCTATGGCTCCTCATATGGCTCTGATTCGGGCAGCTCTGGTCTTCCCGTCGGTGTCTACATTGGAATTGCCGCCGGCATTATTGCTTTTATAATATTGGTTGTGACCATCAGAGTGTGTATCGTCAGAAATCGAGCAGCCAAATTTCCCCAAAACCAGTATCCTCCAGGAACCGTCGGTTTGGGATCTGGAAACCCGGTTCCCATGAGGCCGTTTCCAATGGAACCCGCTCCAGTGAGACCAATGTCGGCTCCTCAAACGGCTGCTCCATATTATCAGCTGCCGACGGCTCCTCCTCCTACTTATAAGGATTCTCGGCATGATAGAGTGTACAACATGGTGTAGCCATGGTTGGAAAAATGGTGTAGCCATGGTTGGAAGAATGGTGTAGCCATGGTTGAGAGAATGTTGAATGTCAGGCAACGGCTCTGGACAGTCGGCGTGGCACTTTCATCGGTTTCTATATCCACTTAATAGAGCATACAGATATACATTTGTAGGTGTTCCTTGGAGGAGTTAGCAAATGGGCTAGTTGAAATTGTTGCTGGGATTGGATTTACGGCAAAATGTAAAAAACCTTTGGCCACAGTGAATAGCTTAGGAATGGGATGGGAAGGCCATGTTTCTGAAGTACCCACTGAATAGAGCATACAACGATACACAATCAAGGGTCTGTTATTTTCTAATGTAAAAAATGTGGCATATGACGGTGTAGAGGACTCTCACGAGCTCATCCAATGAGAAAGAAAATCGATCTTAGACCTCAGCTGCGAATGTAATTTTGGAGGTGTAAGCTCTTGCTCAGATGATAGAAAATCAGTTTAAGTGTGCATTTTACAAACCATACGGCCAAAAGGCAGGTACTCAAATTGCTGAATAATCGGCAAAGCAATTCGAGATTTGGGCTGAAGTGAATCATAATTATAATACTCAATTGGCGTATTGCGTGACACCACGCTAACGGATTCATGTCTACACAGTTTTGGCAGTGTCCGAAGAGTGAAACGAAACGAACATCCTCTTTTCGAGTAGTACATCACAAAGCCTTATAGAAGCTTCCATTAATACATGAGGAATGTCTTGGACCCAGATGGGACACTCATGACTGTATCTGAAGCTCTAGAGGTAGAACAAGGCCACGTTTTCAGAGAAACCTACAAAAACCCTCTTCTAACTGTACTAGCCGTTTTCACTACTTTTTATTTAATCAAGGAAGTACTTTTCATTGTATTGTGGTTTGAGCTTTCAATGTAGATAATCTTTAATTCCACCTGCGAGTGACATTATGTGACCATTTAAGCTCCATCACAGGTAAAGCTACATCATCACCAAAGTAGCATATAAAATCCACCATAAAGCATGACAACCACCTCCATATCCACCTGCAACTCCATGCAAGCTTCTGTAGACAGCCCACGATCCATGATACATCCACACACTCCAACTTCAATCTCCATAATAATCTGCAAAATGCCGAAATGCCGTCATTCTGCCGATGCACAGCTCCAGCAACAGAACCCCTATATAAACCGGCCAGGGTCCATGTTTTTCCTTCATCACCATGCATCTCCATCGTCGATACTACGGGGGCTCTTATAGTTCCTATGGATACGACTGGACTAGTGAAAGGAGAAGAAAATTCGGAATAGTTCTTGGAAGTATCTTTGGCGGCGCTGTTGTCATAGGTCTTTGTATATGGGCCATTGTCTCCTACAGAGAGGAGAAGAAGAAAAAAGTACCTCGAACGCAGACTGTTCCGACGCCGACACAGCAGACTAGAGATATTCCAAGACAGCCGAATAGAGATATTCCAAGACAGCAGCCTAGATATAATGCAATAATCACACCACCGAATCCTCCAGCAGTACCTGGTTACTTTGAACCAACAGCACCACCTCCTACTTATAAGGATTCACGGAACGACAGAGCATATATGGATCCAGCGCCAGGGAATGATGTGATTTTGGTGGACTCAGAAAGAGCCATGGTCAGGGCTCCGGTGTGACGGGCATTTATGGTAATGAATTTGAGTATTTAGGTATTCTAGACGTAATGAAATATAATGAGGTTTTACCTGGTGTAGGTGACAATGAGGATATAGGGTGATTGAGATGAGAGGTGGAGGCTTCATTTGTTGACTATGCCTTGAATGGTGTATCCTGAAGATGCCTTGAATGGTGTGTCCTGGAGGTTGAAAGAAAAAGAAAGCACCTATGACAGCAGAAGCTTGTCTTCGCCGTGCGTGGAATATTAATAGGACAGTATAGAAAGGCTTGAAAGTCTGCAATGTAAGCGACAGTGGGGGTTTGCATTTTTATTTCTGTTGATGCAATTACATGGATTGCGTGTCAGGAGGGGCACTTGAGTGATTGGATGTTTTAGGGAGAAGAATAAGAATATGGTGTGTTAAAGAGTGAGGCTTTTGGATAGAGCACAGTTGGAAAAGGCAACGATGCAGTCAGTGTGGCATTAAGAATGATGATCAAGCTTTCGTTAAGAGTTCAATGACTGGTGAAGAGACCTAAGCGAAAGACACTGAAAGTGTCACTTTTTCAAGATATCTAGCCACAAGACGTCTAACTTGTTTTCTAAACAAAGTCCTACAGAAATATTCATGGAGATTTAAAAGAAACAGCCATTGAGGGGATTGTAGTCTCCATAGCTAAAATTCGACAGATACCAGTCCTCAATGGATTAGGCAACCTCGAAGCAGGCCACAAACGCAAAAAGATCGAGAATTTGCCACCAAGCAGTGGGTAGAATGGGTACTACCGATGTCGTCAACCAATCTTGTGTGAATCTCAATATACCCTAAAACAACCGTTCCCTTCCTTTGCCATTGAGTCAAATACTAACTGTGAAATCAAAAACCAACCTCAATCCATTTTCACCTCAACTTCCAAAGCCCAAACCTAAAAACGCCTTTGGTGCCTTCCCCACACGATGCCGCCAAAACAGGCAGCAGAGCCTCCATGGCTGGACCCTGTCAGAAAGCAAAACATGCACAATAGGACGTTTACGAGGTCTCCCCTTCCTGCACTGGTCAGCATCTATTTTCACCAGGGCTTCCACGCCACGTCGTTCTGGCACAAACCCGCATGATGTCAAAAGCCTTTTGCCCGATTCGTGATGGATTTCGTCATTGGTAGTTGATTTTTTTTACGATATGCAAGGACCGCTGTAGGTGTCTGTCGGGATCATCCATGACAGCGTCATATCCAGTCCTAAGCCCCTGCCCGGTGCGGCTGTCAGTGACTCAACGATACCAGGAAGAAGTCGTTTTCAGGGTTTTGAGAGAAGCGATTTGATGAAAGAGATATGAAAGAAGCGATTTAATGAGAAAGATAAAAGATTCTATAGATTCTCCTAAAATCGCTAAATCTTCAATTGTTTTAATGTAGCGTCAAATCCTGCTTTAGCCGGATACGAGACGCAGCAGGGGTACCAGATCTCATACACTCCGATTATGCCGATGTTTTCTATATTCGGCCCCGCCGAATTCCCGTGCTTGTGCCGATGCACGAACCATGATTCAGCCGTGCCAAACGCCGTATATAAACTTCAGCGTTTCGCTTTCAAAATCCGTAAAATGCATCTTCATTCTCGTCTATTCACCTCTGGTCTCTATGGAGTATCCTCAAGCTCTGGCGGTCCAGGTCTCTCGAGAGGCGCCATTATAGGCATTGTTGCCGGTGCGGTTGCCGTGGTGCTAGTTATGATAATTGTTACCGTGTCGCTTGTGAGGAAACGCAGCATGCTAAATCAGGAAAATATACCGCAGAAGTATCCGCCTAACCAGTATGTTCCGCAGATGATCACTACCCGTCGAGGAGTATTATACCAGGCCCAGCCTCCTCCACATACTAGTGCTCCGGATTATCAGCCGCCGTCGGTTCCTCCTCCTACTTATAAGGATACACGGGGCGATGGAACGCAGCTTGTTGCGTAGGTAGGTTTGGGTTTTGGGGAAATATAGGTAATATAGAGCTCATTGAGAGGTTGTAGAGGGGGATTTGTAGGGTTCAATGTGGAGATCGCTGGGTTTCACAGCTGCTTGTTATATGGATTGATACATGTACTTGTGTGTTTTGACTGATTTCTCTTTATAGGAATTAAATATGTCTCAATGGCTGAGGAGATATCTACATATATTATCAGAGACATTTCAATTATTTAGAAAGATTGTTAAGTGTTAAAGTGGGAATAATATCACTTCTAAATGAAGAACCATCTATATGGTCATCAGATGGTAATGACGCTGATATGACGTCAGCGAGAGTTATCAGATAAAGCCTGGAATATTCTTGAATTTCTATATTTAGCTTCTTCTATTGCCTAATTCTCGTAAATTTCTCTCTTCTGATTGGAATAAAACGGTGCATGGTGATCGTGCTTCTCAATAAGGCGGTCCACTCATTTAGGCACAAGGACAAAAACGAACAGGGTAAAGCCAAAAAGACTTAAGAGGCAATTTCAAGCATAAATTCAGCCAAAATAAGTCAATTTATTCTGATTTTCGTTTTGGACTCATTCAATAAAACTGTTTTTGGCTATAAATCACCCAATATTGGAGCTACAACGCTGAAAATTTGACAGCGTACTGAAATAGAGTCAAATATTACAACAGCATACTAAAATTTACCAACTTCCAACTCAGCCATATAATCCAGAACATATACGTCCTAGAGCACTTTCCTTCATCTACGCGGTTTTAGCTCAGTTGGGAGAGCGTCAGACTGAAGATCTGGAGGTCCTGTGTTCGATCCACAGAAATCGCATTTTTTTTTTGTGGCACTATTGTTTCGCACCAGAGTGGTTATAACCACCACAGTTGACGAATATATAAAGAGCATCGTCCGCCATTTTTTTAATGAGTGTTTTTTTGGAAACCAGCAGGGGAAATTTGGTTATCGACCTAGATAAAAAGAATGCCCGAGAGACCTTCTTGATTGTGGCATTGGCCCATTTGAACCACTGGATCTTATCTGATTTCGACTACGAAAAAGATGTTCTGTTGACTGGGCAACTTGTGGATGTTCCAGAAACTGTGAAAGCTGAATTGGATAAAAAGGAGTTGGAGGATCTGTCAGGCACAAAGAAGGAGCTGGCGCCACCCGGATCGGTGGAGTTTCTAGGCTCTGAAGATGGCTTCCAACTCCGTATCCTTTTGGACTCCAGATCATCAAAAGACGTTGTTGGAAAGGTTGCAGAGGGCTTGGACGTTCTAGATAGCGTCAACAAGCTGGACGGAAAGCTCAAGATCTTGCACACCCACGTGGTGTATGATCCTTTCCTGTTGGACTTGATTTCTTTAGGTCAGCGCAAAAAGGAGACAGATTTCCTGGCGGAACAGATCAAGAAGCTTCTCAAGGCTCCACAGGCCCCTGAAGACGATAAAGCGTCCGTGGAGGCGTTGGCGTTGGAGCTTTTGGGCGACCTTTCCCACTACAAGGTGAAACCATCACCACAGACGCTATTTATTGCCAAGTTGAACCCGATAACCACGGAAAACTCGCTCGAGGTGATTTTCTCGAGATTTGGCGCCGTCAAGAAAGCCAATATCATGAAGGGCAAGAAAACGCCGTATGCCTTTGTTGAGTTTGAAAGCCAGGAGTCTGCTGAATCGGCTTATTCTCAGCTTCACGATAACTGTACGATTGACGGCCACCAGGTCGTTGTTGACTTTTCCCAATCTACGAGCCGTCCGGGCGACGTTGGTTTGAAGGAGGACATCTTTGAGGAATGATGATTTAGTGTTTTACACCAGCAATGAATGAGGTCTAAAGAGGCACCGACGGCCTTTCAGACATTCCAAGAAGAAAAAGAAAATTCCCTTTTATCGAAATGCTCCATCTCGTCGTTGGCTTGTTGGCGATGAGCTGAAAAATCTTCCAAATCTTAAAATTCCATAACTCCATCCAAAATTCAAACAGAGCAAATCCAAGACCATCCAAAGTCACAGAAAAAGCACCCTACAAACAGCTACATCCACAGATTACGATAAATAGGAGTTCGTGGTCATTAAAGGCATTAAACAACACGTCTTTTTTCCCCGCGGGCTTCACCCTCCTCCAAACTATCAAACACAAGCTTCTTAGTTGACAGAAACACAGTCCTTCGAGATGTGGCCGGTCTGACCACACTGGTAGCAGGCCTTGGCAAACTTGTCGGTGGCCAAGTTGCAGTCCTTGGAAATGTGGCCAGTCTTACCGCAAGAGTAACACTTGACAGAGCCGGCCTGGCAGTCCTTGGCAAAGTGGTTAGGACCGCCACACTTGTAACAGGTGGTGGCCTTACCCTGGTATCTGCCGCCAGATCTTCTTGGAGCTGGAGCAGACTCAGCCTTTGGGCACTCTCTGGAGATGTGGCCAAACTCGGAACAAGTGTAACACTTGGAGCCCTGAGCAGCGTTAGGGCAGTCACCTTGAACGTGACCAACGTCACCGCAAGAGTAACACTGCTTGGAGGCGGTGGTCTTTGGCTCAGGACAAGCACCGGACTCGTGACCAGGCTGGCGGCAGTTGTAGCACAATCTCTCCTGCTGCTGGCAGTCGTCGGCGATGTGGCCGGTTTCACCGCATTTGTAACAAGCTCTTGGGAACATTTTAAAAAAGGTTTTTGATGAACTGAGTTGGTTGTTCGTGGTTAGAAAATTTTTCCTGGCTGATGTGCGCACCAATGACCAGAGTTACACAAAAATCACGGGACCTGGGGTCTTGGTCAGGCAGAAACGGGGGATTTGGAGAGATGGGGATTTGTGGATTTTTGGAATGTTTGGTTGGAATGGGGCCGCTGGAATGTTTGTTTGAGACAGATCGAGTGGGTGGGGGATCTGGCTGAGTGGAGCGACATTGTGGCCGAGCGACATAATGGCTGCAAACGGCAAGCCGGTAGCCCGAAATTCCGTTGGTTCCTGGGAAGGGTTTCCTTTAAATTTAAGGAAAGATTGTGAAGGCAGGATTCTATGGCTGAACGAAAATAGAGGTAAAAAGGTGTGCAGTGGGGATTTACCGTCAGGACCATGAGCTCATCGCATAGTGATGGGAATCGAAGTTTTCCAGGGACTGGCTGTAGAAAACGCAGAAAACGGCACTACAAAGCGGGAGTCTATTTCAGCAGATTCACTATGGAAATTCTCGAGGAATTCTCGAGTTTTTGTGCTCATCGCATCGAGAAGATCTCATCGGCTCCATTGTGTGGAGAAACAAGTACGTAAACGAGGCCGCATGAAAATGAAAACCGTAAAACACGAAAATGGCGAAATTCATAGATTTTTTTTTTTTTCTTTTTAATGCCAGCTTTTCACGATTTTACATTGTTTATTTCACACCTCAAGGATGTGGCTTTTTGTGATCCAGATCCCTCGATGCCCAGCGGTAATTCAGAGGTGTAAAAGAAATGAACAATAGAACCGTAGAACAACGAAAGTCTTCAGTTAATTGAAATTCTTCAGCTAATGGAAGAAAAGGCCATCTGAATGATTTTTCAATTTCTGTAGTGCTATTGAAAACGGACATCTTCGGTTGTAGCCTGGTATGCCAAATGTCTATCGATAAATATGCTCAACTAGCTCATCGCCTCCTCAGAAAATCCCCTTATAAACAGCATCGGCGGTCTTCACGGCCTGCTGGATATCCGCCACGTCGTGGACACGGACAATATCGGTGTTTTGCTGAACACATGCCACAACCGTAGCAGCTGTAGGGATCATTCTGTCCAGCGCTTCCTTTCCAGAAATGGTTCCAAGGAAGCCCTTTCGACTAGTACCCACAAGAAGCGCCAAACCGTGGAACGACGTGTACACGCCCAGGTTCAAGTCGTTCTGGGCGTACTGTTTCAACGTTTTGGCTCTGCGCAACAAGGTCAAGTTCTGGCCGATGTTTTTGGCAAAACCAATGCCAGGGTCAATGATAACCTGCCATTTCTTGACGCCGTGGTCCATGGCCACAATAAGCTGAGCAGCCAATTCTCTGCAGACACCGTTGACCACCGGTTCGGCCGCTGGAGCCTGGATTCCGTGATGCAGATCAATCTGGTACTCTACAAGCAGATCATCACTAGGTCCGTACTCCGTGAGCTTGCTCATTGTCTTTGGCGTGCCCCTGGTGTGGCTCATGACGTAGGCACAGCCGTACTTGGCGATAACCGAGAAAAGGGCTGGATCCAAGGTGCCCATGGAAATGTCGTTGATGATATCGGCGCCAGCCTGGAGAACGGCCTCGGCAACAGCAGCCCGGTACGTATCCACAGAAACAAAAATGTCGTCGAGCTCCGGCGCAGCCCTGATGGCTTCCACCACCGGAACAACCCTCGCAAGCTCTTCTTCCGTAGAAGGCTCCAGGGACCCCGGACGGGTGGAAACACCGCCAATGTCGATGATAGTCGCCCCGTCGGCCTTCTGCTTGAGCGCTGCTTCCACGATATCCTGCCTGGAAAGCTCAAAGTGCTTGCCTCCATCGCTAAACGAGTCTGGCGTGGCATTGAAGATTCCCATGATAAGCGTGGGTTTCTTGCTGTTGTGGCTGAAGGTGAGGTGTCGTTGGCCCGAGCCGGGCACCACCAGAAGAAGCTCCGACAGCTCCTGGACCAGCGGATCGGGTACAGTTGCCAAAAGCCTTCGAAGATGGTCGTGAACAGGTTCGGCTGTGACCGGGTGAATGAAATCGGGAGGAACCAACTCGCAAAGCGGCTGAAGCACAAACGTCCGTTCAAGCATCAGCTTGTGTGGCACGACGAGATCGGGTGTGTTGATGGTGGAATCGCCGAAAAACACAATATCGAGGTCGATGGTTCTAGGACCATTGTCGAACTCCTTGCGCCGCTGGAGGTGCTCGTACTCGATCTTCTTGAGCACCTTAAGGAGGTCATGGGGCGCCATGTTCTCGCAGACCACACGAACCACGCCGTTGTAGAAATCAGCCTGGTCCGTGTGGTACATGGGTTTCAGCA